TCTTGAAGAGGACAAGTGCTATCGAAAATGGATGGAATTATATCTTGCTGTTTCCATCAAGGCTCAGCGTGGATATTTATTTCAAAGATTCTGTCATCAAGTTTTGAAGGACTGATCCCTAAAATGTTCTCCTTGTCCTGCAGAAATTAAACGAATTGAAGGGCGTGTTTGTGCGAGTCACCATAATTAACGCGACCAACGCGAGTTCCGACTGAAATATTCCCGTTGCAGCACCGCAGGAGTGTAGTTGTTGACGTGCGCCACGAGATAACGATCGTACTCTAAAACTCTTGACTTGTCTCAACGGTCTCGTAACGCGGTGATTGTGCGCAGGGACGCTGGCCGCTGCTGAGCGAGGAGCTGGCTTAGGTCTACCAGGCCGCTGACCCCGCGCCGCTCTGGTTCCACTACCTGGTCACCTACCAGGAAGCCGACGGTAACCCGGCGCTCACTGTGGGCGTTTTGCTGGATCTGCTCTACCTCAGACTGAAGGTACGACACTTCTCAAAAATCAAATGACAACCAAACATCTTCTCAAAACTATTTAATCGTACTCTTGCAGCTTTTGGGATTGTACGGAGAGTGCAAGTCTTTACTGAAAACTGTGAGGATTGTTCTTAAGAGCGAGGTCAGTTTGATGAAGTTTTGATTCACCCAAATGAAATATTCCTCATTTTGTTTCTTCTCTCTGATTGATTGGGAATATATATATATATATATTTTTTTAAGTCCTACCACTCACCTGAAATGCTGCTTGTCCTAAACTGGGGTGTTTTTCTTGCCTTTCAGCATACAGGGACGGCGGCCACGAGGAGTCAGTGCATGGAAGCCGGTGACGTGTGTCCCATCTGCCAAGGAGAATACAGGGAGCCTCAATCTCTCATCTGTCAGGTAAAACATTTGTCAATTCTATCCTTTACTTAGGCTCTGGGGGCGGGTGGATTTTAACAACTGGGAGTTGAATCCAGGTTGCCCCCAGAGTTCAATGCCAGCAGTGTGTCCCACTGTGGCATTTATTGCACCACCTGACGAGCATCACGAGATGGAACGTACTGTTACGAGAAGACGCGGAAAAGTTGATTCCCGTTGGATTGTTGACAGCCCCGACGTGGAGACGTGAAATAAATTGTACCGCTGTGTCTGTGACTGCACAGCACATAATCTGTGACCAGTGCATCGCTCTGTGGTTCAACCGGGAGAAGAGCTGCCCCCTCTGCCCCACCGTGATCACGGAAAAAGTGTACAAGTGGAAGGACGGAGCCACATCGGCGTACCTGCAGATTTACTGATCGCACGCATTTGGGAGCGTTGATGAATGTTACGTTGTTTGATTGTGAAAATTTGTACAACACTGGTCAATGAATTTTCTGAGGCCACTCACTGTCATGAAATTGAAGTTGTAGTTTTCCCCTTGTTGATATCTCAAAGTATATTCTACATTCCCAACCCCTTTCATTTCTCTTTGTATGATGATATTTTTCTCATGGGCCTGCACGTTGACCTTCTTTGAAACTATTCTTCTCCTATAAATACAAGAAAATATTTTTCGACAATTTGCGAGATTTCAGGTTTCATGGGCTGTGTGTAAAATCTTTCCAGCTCTACATTTGATCCTTTCATGTCAGCCGGAGGTGAGTGGATGTGCGCAGACCTCCGACATGGAGTGATCGGTGAAGACGCATCTTTCATCTTGAAGGGTTAAAGTTAACTTGGGGGGGCGCTGGCAAATTGCACACTGCGATGCCTTTGGAAAAGCTTCTACTAACGCTCCAACAGCAGCCTGTGTCAGGCGATAGGATAGGCACTGTATACGTGTAAGCTGGTGCTGTTGCTATTTTTGCAGCTCAGCAAGATTTTACACAAATTTTGGAATATTTTTTACAGAGACGATTTACAAACACCAAAGAATTGGAGAAATATATTTTATCTAATGGAAAAAAATGTCACCGTTCTTGTCCATGAACTATCTGAAAAATTTAATATTTGAGCAAGTTATGAGTGTGGAGTTTGTTTCCTCTCCAGCTGTAACCGACCGAGCAAGCGTATCTTTTTGGACCTTAAGCTGCCCTATGTCGGAACATCAAAATACATCTGACTTTTATCTATCAGAGGCTTCATTTGATAACGTACCAAAAAGTGTTCTCGGAGTCAGGGGCGTCCAAACTCGGTCCTCGATGTCAGCTGTCGTGACTGTTCTCCATCTCTCCCCACTGCAACAGACATGACTGAAATGATCAGGATCATGATCAAGCTTCTTCAGAGCTTTGCTGATGAGCTGAACATTGGAATCAGGTCTGTTGCAACAGGGAGAGATGGGAAAACGGGCAAGAGGGCGGCTCTTGCGGATCGGAGCTGGACTTGCCTACTCGAGGTGGTCTCGTCAAACCCCGGATGAACGACAGAATGCGCTCCGAGCCAAATAACATTTCAAGTTTTTACTGTTCAAATATACAGTATCGAACATCTTCAAAACAGATGTCAACATTCACTAACTTTACAAACTCAATTCTCGTCACTGCTCAACAGTGATTAAAAGCAAAATACCGCAGATGTCCTTGATCGTTTAGCCAAACATCTCAAATGTGGATTTAGTGATCCTAAACCTTAAAAACAAAAAAATCACTTTCACATCAGTTACAATCTAAGGACATAATACAAAATACGCAATTCCAACCATGCTGCTTTCACCTTCTGCATGCTGCCCAAAGCGCAGTCAAAAATTTAAGTTTCATTCAGTCAAGAACAGTAGCATGTATGAAACACATGAAAAAAAGACATTGTGATAGATTGATTATTTTTAGTTATCATACATTCGCTTATTATTAATGTTGTTATTGTTATTTTGATATTGATTGATTGATTGATTATGCTCGCAAAGAAGAAAGCTTATGCCTGCAATGATAAATTGATTATGCTTGCAAAGATGAACGCTTATGCCTGCAATCATTAATTGACTATGCCTGCAATGAAGAACGCTTATGCTTCTAATAAAGATATATTAATCATTATATACTCACATTTATAATCAAGAATGCTTAGTGCACTGTGTGGAAGTTTAGGGACGCAACCACCTTTCCGAGGACGTGGTTGGGAAGAGATAAGTGTTAAGACTAAACAGGAGCAAGGTTGGACAGTGAATGGAGCCATCAACACCAGCTGCAACGTGATGATTTTGTAACAATTGCACACATATACGTAATTTACACTCACATACACACACATAGTCAAACAAGTTGGATTTTTGACTTTGTTGCTGCTATTGCTCAAGTGTTGTTTGCTAGCCCTCTCGATCTCGTCTCCCGCTTTGTGCTGCACCAAACCGCCCC